GTCCCACCTTGTGAGGTCCTGCGTGTTTTCCCTGCCTTTCTCAGCTCAGCCTTGATCACACAGGCTTTTTGAGCACTGACTAGTCGAAGAACTCAAGTCTACAAAGAATACCCTTGCTACACTATTGTCCTCCATCATAAATTCATATTTCTCTAAAAAATACATTTTTTTGCTCACTTTTGCTTCTCCATCCTATTTTCTTCAACCCTGACCATTATTTGTTTTTTCCCCTTTGTTTCACCAACCATCATTAACTTCAGCTATCCTGGACACATACGAGGAAAAAGCCTCCTTGAACAAGCTTTTGATGAGACCTTATGTTTTTGGATACTATCACTGCTACTCTCCCCATCTTCCAAGGGCACAGTTGCTGCAGATCTGGAATTTTATTTACTTTCCTAGAAAGATCCCCATTTCAGTGCAAATCTCTCTCCTGCATCTGGCTTTACCAGAACACTGCATTCCTCCATTTCTTTCCCTATTCATAGCTGTTTATATTACCTTCCAAAAAGTAATTATTTGGAACCAGTTAAGCCTGTACATGAATTCTGCCTTTGTTTAAAACACATTGTACACATGTATATATTTAGACTGTCATTAAATATTTAAGAGGCTGTCTTCAGACTTCAGCAGCAGCACTGTTCATTCACTTAACCCTTTGTGAAACAGAAAGCCTGATGCTGAAATCCTACCATGGAGTAATTCAGAAAGCCCAGTTTGTAAAGAAAGCAGAGCTTTTCTTTGTTTTCTTTTATATCCTGTTTGCTAGTAGTCTAATCATAATGCAATTCATTTTAATCTGTATCAGCTTTATCTGCTGAGATGCATAACTGGGGTGCAAACTAATTAGCTGGAACATACAGATGGATCTTCCAATATAATTCAGGGGGACAGAGTCAAATACGCACATGCTCATCCCTCCTTCCCCCAATGAAATAAAGACACTGCACACATTTTTCCACAGGTCAAGAAGGCAGCTTCCTTGGCTTTTTCAATCCCCTGGAGAGGAAACAACACTTCCTGCAGACAGGTGGACCTTGCTCAAACCCAACAACGAAGGCTGTGCCTTAGATGAAACCCCACCGCAAGTAACTTGTAACATGCACTGGCACCAAGTGTGACTCAACTAACACTACACCCTGCTGACAGGAGATTACCATGGTTTAAAATCTGATCACCTGATTCACCTGGCTTGGCAAGGCCTCTACCTAGAGCTGATCACTCATATTTCACCCTGGCAAGGACTGGGTATCAGGGCACCAATGCTCCTGTAATCCATGTGAGGTAAAACAGTGCAAGTGCCACAGCAGAGGATGGGGAAAGAGGCACACAAGAGCGCAGTACATGACTTTCCCAACTCTATATGGATACGCAAATGTATGTATCCTGGAGAACATGTTTTTCTTCTTTTTGATTAAAACCTTGAGGATGCATTATTAAATCCAAGCCCCAAAAGCCTCAAGAGAGCAGCTCTGCATGCAGTTTTCAAGGCCTAGCTGTCTTTAGAGACATTTCTTTCCTAAGCACTACAGCCTCATTCACGATGCTGCTTTAGGTGGGGCGAATAACAGAGTCCCTCCTACAGCTTTCACACCTGGTTTACACATCAGCACAGAAGCATTTTACCCAGCTGACTGCTGTTACACTACCCTGGGGATGTGACCTCGTCGTTGGATTTTATGAAGGGAGCGAAGCGCCAGGCATAGTCCCTGTTTGAACGGGAGAGACAGAGAACGCAGAGCTGGGAGATCAGCAGATGGCATACTTTGCTGTGAGTCGGCACCAGAGCAGGAGTGCGAAGGAAGGGGCAGCAGCACGCTCTGGCAGGTGCGCTCACTCAGGCAGGATGTTGGATTGAAGAGCTTCAGCATTTGCAGTTCTTCACCAGAGCAAGCCTGTCCACCTCACTGGCCCACAGGTTCAAGCTGCCTCAATTCTTGGAGTAATCTTCTTGTAATCATCTTTTTTTACTTCCCGTCTTTAACAGCAGCATTGCAATGAATGCTGAAGCTCCCATACACCACCCCAGATACAGCCACATCACAGCAGCATGTATGGGTTTTGTATCAGTAGCACCTTGTACCAGTTGGGTTCATGCTTCCATATCCCCTGAGGGCTGTTATATACACCCCTCACTGCAAAATAAGTGACAAAGACACTTTTGGAGGGGCAGAACTTATGGGGAGATGTCTATCTTTTATTAGACCAAATGGCATAGCTATAAAAAAAAAAAACCTGAATATGGCCCTACTCACATCAACCCACATGCAGGTGTTTGCTTTTGTGACAATTCGACAGCTGTAGAATGCAGCAAACGACCAGGACTTTTCCTATCTGTAAATTAGCTCCAGTTGCTGAGATTCATGCCAAAAGCCAGCATGGCCTGCAAGGCTGCAATTATCAGGTCTCCTTCCCCCCCCCCCCCAAATCAAATATTCCCTAAAGGAGATCACAAGCCAAAGGGACTCTCAGGTCATGCATAACATGAGCTTAGCTTAGTATCTCTAGTAATCGCTCAGCACTGCCACTGTATCTCTTCCACATGTGCACCATTTCACCACTCACCCATCAGTTTTCTGAGAGTGAATGGAACTAAAAGCCCACCAGGTATTTGCACTGCTGCTTCCTCCCCCCCTGCAGCAGATTTACACCCTCACTGGCAGGTGAGCAGAGTTCACCCAGGCACATGCAGCGTTCCCAGTGCTGTGGTGCTGACCTTCCCCGTCTCTCCCAACCCCCCTGTGGACAGTTTCGATGGCAGCCAGCTGGAAATTCTGATCAGCATTAATGCCACCATAGTTTCTTCCCGGCTGCTCTCCAGGAGTATTTTTCCACCTACGCTCCTCTGTGCATCGCAAACCCCTCCAGCCGTTGGCAGCTCTTGGTGCAGCTCCACTGCACGCTACTCAGCGCCGTACGGCTGGTCTGGTTTGATTCAGTGTCTAATTCCAGCTACATGGAAACATTCTCATGCGAGAAACTTCATCTACAGACACCTACTCTGCAGCAAATGTAGTGGTGGTCGGCATTTAAATGAACTAATCAGTTGCAAACGGCTTAGTCAGCAGCGCAGTCCTGGAGGTAATTCCCAGGAAGCGATTTTCCCAGCAGCTATATATACAAACCTGAAAAGCAGACTGGAAGACAAGGGCAGCACCACAGCAGCACAAAATTTGGCTACACAGTGCCACTGCCAACAAATGAAAATAAAAATGAGGGAAAGCCTGAACCAAGAAACCAAGCAGCCACAGAAAACACACTGCACTGCCACTGTATCCTCTCACATTTAAGTATCAGAAACTCAGACACAGGACACGAGCACAGGCAGCTTTTCTTTTTCCTCCTTTCTTTACTAATGCTGTGCTGGTTTGAACCGAGAGGAGAAAAGCAGCAAGGCAAGTTACTGTGGAGATAGAGACACTGGCCAGACATCAGCCACTGTGTTTTGGAGAGAGCATCCCAGCAATCACTCTTAACAGCTAAGCCACCAGAGAGCCAGGTTCACACACACACACTGAAAAGGGCTGAGGACTCATACAAACTTTGTTTTGGAGCAGTGAAGGCACAAGGCACCCACCCCAAGAGACACTGGGTGTATGAAGGGCAGCGCCAAATGCCAGAGCATCCTCCAGCCACACCTCTGTCACTGGCCAGGGCTGCAGATGCAGGTCATCAGTACCCGGGAAAGCAACGCCAGGGCTGTGGGATGCGGCGCTGCCCTTCAACACCTCCCTGCCACCTCCCCGGCCAAAGCAGCACCGAGCCAGCCACCGATCCACCCAAAGGAGAAACCGAGGCTTTCCTCTGGCCGCTATCAGCGTGCCGGCACGCATCTGCTCACATCTGCCCAGCAGCCGGGGCTGCCTGCAGAGCCAGGAACGCTCGCATGGGGAAGGGGCACCGCTCACTTACTTTTCATACTCGGCGTTGTCTCGATCACAGCGCGAATCCTTGTGCTTTTGCCAGTCCTTGCCATGCTTGCAGGTGGTCAAGAGGACAACATCCTCACCGTTATGGACGTGATATAAGGCATTCCTGGTGTCTGACCCTATCCCCGTCAGGTACCTTTTCCCCTTGAATACCAACATGTACTTCCTGAGAGGAGGGATGGTGTTAAACCTCAAAAATCCCTTCTCCCCTCCTGTCCTAGGATGATCCTTAGAAAAGAGTGGGATAGAAACGTCAAAGTTGGGTCTGAAGTTTTCAGTACTGATGCTGGCTTTGGCCAGCATGGCCTGGCCGATGTCAAACCCCACATCCTCGGTATAGTCGGGCCAGGTGCCGGAGTATAAATTAAAAATCAGGTGGTTTCTGCCGTTGTTCCACAGGTGGAGACTCTGCACCTTGGAGCGCAGGTTGTGCACGTACTGGGGGGAGAGCTGGTCCCGGTCCAGCGTGTCCAGGCTGAGGACGAAGAGGCAGGCCTGGCCGGGGTCGGAGGTGTAGAAGCGGGAGCCCTCGATGGCGGCCAGGACGTTCTGGTAGCTCTCGGCGATCTTCTCCCCCTTCTGCTGCGGGTACACGTAGACCTTGAAGCCGTTTTTCCGGCACTGGGCGAAGTCGAAGCAGGACTCCATGCGGCAGCGGCGCCCGCGGTAGAGGCCGGCGCTGGCGTCCCGCCGCTGCCGAGGGGAGACGCGCCCGCCGCCGCCCTCGGGGCCCGGCCGCTCGGCCGGTGCGAAGGGCCGCAGGGCGTCGGGGAAGCGGGGCCAGGGCCGCTCGGCGCCGGGGCGCGGGCCATGCCGGCTACCGGCCGGCGGCCGCCGTGCCGCCTGCAGCCACACGCCTCCCAGGTAGACCAGCAGGACGAGACAGGTGCCGGCGGACAGCAGCGTCAGGTAGCGTTTTTTGGCCTGCATGTGTCCGGCGGGGGTCCGGGGGGCTGCGGAGGAAGGCGGGGGCGCCCCGAGCTCGCCGGGCGCCGCTCTCAGCTCCGCTCCGCCATCTTCCCGCCGGCGAGCGCTTCAAACTCTCTTCGCCCACCTCCGCTCGGCGCCGTTCCCCAAGCCGCCGGCCGGGGCCGCGCATGTGGGCGACCGCCGCAACTTTCTCCCCGCCGGTCTCTCAGGGGCGGCGGGCGGCGGCGGGCCGGCGGCGGCCCGGCGGGGCGCCCCGCATGCACTCAGGGGCCGGCCCCCCGCGCGGGGCGGGCACCGGGGCAGCCCCGCTCCCGCCTTCCCGCCGCTGCCTGCCCTCTCCTTCGCCACGCTCCCGCCCGCCCCTCCCCTCCCCGCGCCGCCAGCCCAGCCCAGCCCGGCACGGCCCAGCCCAGCGCGGCCCCGCCGGCTCACAGCCCGCGGCCGCCACGCCGCAGCCTGACGAAGCCCTGCATCGCCCGGCTCCCCCCGCCCGGCCCCGGCACCGCTCGCTCCTCGCCGCGCTCCCGCTGAATGGCCCCCGGGACAGAGTGGCGGCGGCGAGGACCCTCCTCCCTCTCCTCCTCCTCCTCGCCCCTCCTCCCTTCCCCGCCTCCCCCGGGCCGCGGCCGCCGCAGCAGCGCCCCGCCGAGCCCCGTGCTGCCCGCCCGGCCCTGCCCTGCCCTGCCCTGCCCCGCTCTGCCCGCCCGCGGGCCGCGACCCCCGCCTCACCCGGCCCCCCGCGCACCGCCCCCACCCCGGCACCGCCGCGCTGACCTCATCCAGCCACGCAGCCCCGCGCCCCCATTGGCGGGGCGTCACGTCCGGGGGGGCGGGGCTTCCGCTGCACCCATTCATAACGCGGCCGGAGGCGGAGGGGCGGGGGGGGCGCCGCCGGTGCGGTCGCCGGTAGCGGACGGGATGGGGCAGGTGTGGGGTGTGGGGGATGTCCCTTCTGGGGGCGGTGGCACCGCTGCGCCACGCACCCCCCGTGCTCCGGTGCAGTGAGGCCTGGCCTAGCCCTTGAGGGCCTTTTTTCGTCTTCCCACCCGGCCTGGTTTCCCCCGCCCCGGTGTGCTCCCACCGCCTCCCACCGGTACAGCCCGCAGCCCCCCGGCCGGCGTACCCCGCTGTGTGCCGGTGTCGCTGCCGCCCCCTGCCGAGGGCGGCGCCGCCGTGCTGGAGCCACCCCCAGGAACGGCTGCCCACCGCGGGGAAGAGACCCAATAACCTAAATACTGCCTTCGTGGTGCGGGCAGTGCCTGCTCTCCCGTCTGACGGTGGGGAAGGCAGAGGAGAGAAAAGACGTGGCTCCGCTGCTTGCACTGGAGCTGCCGTCAAGCCCAGCGCTCCCCACCAGCTTCTGCTGGGGTGCGATGTCCCTGGGGAAGAGGCCCTCCGTGCTCCGGAGGTGGATTCTTGGGACTGGCAGACACTGAGAAAACGCTGATCAGCTGAGTAGTGTGCAGGGAGCTGCCTGAGCACTCAGCCACCCCTGCAGCTACGTGTTTGTGCTTCGTGTCATCCCTCCTTGGCGTTCGGTTCAGCCGCCAGCAGCCTGGGTCCATCGGGAGAGCCCTCCTCTCCCGGGCAGGGCAGGCTGCCCGGTACGCGAGCGGAGGGGTGGCGTGCGCTGCTGGGAGCCCCGGCTTGCTCCGACACACGCGGCGCTGGAACCGCTGATGGTATTGCACATACGTGTTCGTGTTTCGGTCCTGCTAGCTCAGCAAGTAATAGCGGGGAAATTGAGTGGGATGGGCTTCAAGCTGCTTGCACAAGACCCTGGATGTCAAAAAACTCAGGTGCTAAAGCCTGTGCCAGTGCGCCTTCTCTGATGCTCCTTTCCAGTGTTAAAGCTTTAACAGATTCACCTTCCCCCGGCTGCAATCCCACCTTCCGCCCTCCTGCTGCCAGATCCAGAGGTGTCTCACATGATCTGAGTGACAAGAAACCATGTCTTGGCCAACAGTATCACCATCCCTGTGTTTTTCCGTGCTCATCCCACGAATGAGCTGTGGCTCCTATCGTGTTCTTTCCTCTTCTCCCTCCACTTCTGCAGAGTTAAGGGGGTAAAATGTAAGGGTAACTTGAGTGAAGACAGTGTGCCTCCTCAGTGAAAGAGGTGAGAACCTATCATGGAAGGGTACATTACTGGCAGTAAATAAAGTTTAATCTTGTTGCTGGAGCCAAGAGAAGACAATTCCCTTCCAAAGTAATCTGATTGTAGGGATGACTGTTGAAGGAAGGAGTCCAGGGCTTGAGGCAGAGGCAAGGAGTTGGGAATATTAATAATACGAAGAAATCAAATTCTGAAAAGTAAGCCGTATTTATGGCTGGCATAGATTTGGGTCCAGGGGGGCAGAAATTTTGGCCAACGACCTGATAGTGGGGAAGCAGGATTAAATATTAATGTGTTAATTAACCCTGTAATCCTTTCCTGAAACATTTGTCACAGCCCACATACAAACCCGGGATGCTGTTCAAGAAAAAAAGAGGTCAGCTTCTTGAAAGGTGAACCAAGGCTGCTTGCAGAGGCACCTTCTGTCAGGCACAGGAAGGTGGAATCCCATTACTGGCTGCAAATTAAGCCTCTGGGGACCAGTTTAAAACAGGAAAAGAAGCCTGTAAGGTTTGCTGCCTGCACCAAGGACAGTAGCTGTTGCTGTAGGTTTTGAGGATGGGGTGCTGGGGAGCCTGTATCACGAAAGTGCTGCTCACCACAACAGAGAAGTGTAGGAGGGAAGTGAAAGCTGTTGGGTTTCCAGCTGAACTGCCATGTGCTTGCGGCACCCACGCTGCTGCCCGCTACACAGCAGCAGTGAATACCTAAGCTTTGACATATTTGGATCTGGACAAGGGCAGTTAGGGTGTCATTTTAGAGGACAGAGAAATAAACCTCTGCAGATCACTGCAGCTAGGCTTTATCAATAGGATTCCTGAGAAGTGATTCAGAGCAGCCCTGCTGAGAAGTACTTGGGAGTGTTGGTTGATGAGAAACTTAACATGAGCCGGCTTCACTGTGCACTCGGAGCCCAGAAAGCCAACCGTATCCTGGGCTGCATCAAAAGGAGCGTGACCAGCAGGTCAAAGGAGGTGATCCTGCCCCTCTACTCTGCTCTCCTGAGACCTCACCTGGAGTATTGTGTGCAGTTCTGGTGTCCTCATAAAAAGGACATGGAACTGTTGGAACAAGTCCAGAGGAGGGCCACGAGGATGATCAGGGGAATGGAGCACCTCCCGTATGAAGACAGGCTGAGGAAGCTGGGGCTGTTCAGCCTTGAGAAGAGAAGGCTGCGTGGAGACCTCATAGCAGCCTTCCAGTATCTGAAGGGAGCCTATAGGGATGCTGGGGATGGACTCTTCATTAGGGACTGTAGTGATAGGACAAGGGGTATCGGTTAAAACTTAAATGGGGGAACTTTAGATTGGATATAAGGAGGAAGTTCTTTACTGTTAGGGTGATGATGCACTGGAATGGGTTGCCCAGGGAAGTTATGAATGCTCCATCCGTGGCAGTGTTCAAGGCCAGGTTGGACAGAGCCTTGGGTGACATGGTTTAGTGTGAGGTGTCCCTGCCCATGGCAGGGGGCTTGGAACTGGATGATCTTGAGATCCTTTCCAACCCTAAGTATTCTATGATGATTCTATGAGTTGTGGAACAATTGCTCCATACAGTTCTGGATCCTGTTGTGCTGGGCAAGGCTTTCTTGAGGAGATATGTGCATACTCCTAGCTGCAGGAGAGGGACTATGATGATCAGTTGCCTTTTTGAAGGCCACCTTTCTAAACCAGCTATCGCCCACCACTTGTAATGTTCCCATATACAGAATTAAATGAGCCTGGCTTTATTTTGCTGCTGTTGTTTGGGCCCTGTGGGCAACGTGGCAGCTGACAGGAATCTCACAGCCTGCCTTCAGTCTTCAACCAGAGTTCTCCACAGTCCTGGCATTCACTGGTGGCAGAGTGCTCCAGAAGTGGAAGCCTACCTCTGTCTGTAATAAATCTGCCTGCATCTGGTACCAGGCAGGAGGATGGTGGAGCACAAACCATTGTATAATAGAAATCCTGCTTAGGGAAGAGGAAGAATTGGTGGTGAGAGGGTGTTTCAGCATATCCACATGGCAAATACATGAGTCACAGCCCCCAGGTTTGCTCTGGCCACTGGTGCCTGCTAAGGGTCTGCAAGCTTGCAGGTGGCTTTTGACTCTGGTCCGTTACCCTTTGCACTCTTCCAAATAATTTATATCTTCATACGGCTGGCAGTTGTCTGGGACTCTGTCCAAGCCCTCAAATGAAAGGCCAGGAGAGGGAATCGGTTTTCTATTTCTGGCTTTGCAACTTAACACCTGCCCAATCTGTGGCAAGTCACTCGGGGCCAGATTCTTAAAGAGGTGGATTAGTGTGGGCTTCTCGTTTTGGGTCTTGCTCTTGGTGTCCAGCTATAGCTTTAGGTGCCTCCAAAGTTTAATTCCTAAGAGTCACCCACATGAAGCCCATGGTACCTTCCACTTTTTGTATGTGAAAAATATCCTACTGCTTTGCACACTTGGATGCACCTTAGTTTTGATGCTGTTGAGTGATGTCCTTGACTAACCCACTGGGCATTAGTTGTTCCTCCGTCTACTTTGCCTACATGGTTAAACTCTGAATCTCAAAACGTGCCTCTCCGGAGGTCCCTTCCAACCCTAGGAAGGAAGGGACAATAACAGTTCGGTGATTCTAGGATTGAAATCCACACAAAACATAAGGGAAGAAATGCTGTCACATGCTCATCTGTCCCTAACCCTCTTTTTTCTAAATCTGGTAACTCTGTGCTTAAAGTGTTTGCCCAAGTAGGAGACCTAGAATCGTCCTTGTGCCTTCCAGGAGAGCATCCTCCCAGAGTGGGTAGAGTGGGATTCACCTCCTGAGACTGGCTTGTTCTAGTAACTACCTGGGGTAATCACTCTACTGGCTTACCTGGGGGCCTCAGATTTCCAGCTAAATTGAGTTGATAATGCTTTCCTGGCTAATAGGACAGAGCAAGAGCTGATTTATCACCACTGTCAAGGGTGTCATGATCCTAGGGAGAAAGGCAGCATAAAAAATGCAGTGCATCTAAAATACTTGGAAGGGCTTGGCAGCAGGCACGTGTGCAGTTAAAAAATGTTACCCTGTTGCTTCATTAGCTCAAACCACCATTGTAGAATCATACAATGGTTTGGGTTGGAAAGGACCTTAAGGTCATCTGCTTCCAAACTCTCTGCCATGGGCAAGGATGCCTCACACTAGATGATGTCACCCAAGGCGCTGTCCAGCCTGGCCTTGAACACCACCAGGGATGGAGCATTCACAGCTTCCCTGGGCAAACCATTCCAGTGCCTCACCACCCTCACATTAAAGAACCTTTTCCTTTTATCTAACCTGAACTTCCCCTGTTTAAGTTTGAACCCATTCCACCTTGTCCTATCCTACAGTCCCTGATGAAGAGTTACCATTCTTGGTTACTTGGATGTGCTTTTCTGTGGCAAAGTGCAGCAAGGATTTCCAAAGAATTAAGCAAAACCTTGCAGAGACAGCAGCTTGGAGCTCCAGACTTGGCTCTATATTTAGAAGCCTAAATCATAGAATCATAGAATAGTTAGGGTTAGAAAGGACCTTATGTTATCTAGTTCCAACCCCTCTGCCATGAGGAGGGACAATGACAGCAGCCTGGTTTCCACAGATCCCAAGTACTCACAGATCCCACTTTGATTTGGGTAATTATCCACAGACCGAAGAGGAAATCTTTTAGCTG